CACCGGTTTTCTACACTGCCCTTTCGGGATCAGCAGCTATAGATTTATACATCGTGTTTATGGAGATCACTGCAAATGTGTCAGTACTAATACTGAACGTGAGCAGATAAGAGCAGTTAAGAGAATGTCTAAACGCATAAACATAGTTTTTAGTTTTTGGGGTTCAATGTGAGTAACAGACAAAAGTGATTTAAAGAAGGAGCATGCAGGAGAGCAGCAACATTTATACCTAACGAATAAAAGGAGTTAAGTCACGCACAAATGTGAAATCTATATGTTGGAATTTACCATACTAACGGCACAGGTACTACCTAAAAGTCCGGACAAATGGTTCGCGGGTATTCTGCCGTTGGTTGTCACAGCCGCGAGAGGTTCGGCTCATGAATAGGTTCCTCAGCTTTTCCCGTTTGCTTTCTGGTTGATATATCGGTTTTGAAATTTCAGAATTTTAATTTCATCAGACATCAATTTCTGTGCTCGGTATAGATCAGTTTATGCGAGGTTTATAGGAATAGACCATAAATTGACGTATATATTTGGGCCAAACTTCATCGGCCACTGCGGGATAACCGCGTAATATACAAATGCTGCCAGCGGGTAGACAGTTGTAAAATGTTAGATTGCAATTTATCATACTGGCACCAAAGATACTAGCTAAAAGGTCTAGAAACGTGTTTCGTCGGTATTCTGTCGCTGCTTGACACAGCTGCGAGGGGTTTGGCTCATCAGTGGGTCCTCCAGCTTCTCCTGTTTACTTTCTGGTTAACATGCCACTTTTGAACTTTCAGCTTCTTTATTTCCTTAGCAATTAAGTTCTGTACTCGGTATAGTGTTTGGGCTTTTAGCTAATACCTGCGCTGCCAATATATTATGCTACTACCTGCCCGTGGGCAGGCCCGTAGACAGAGAGAGCGCCTTCATTGGCTAGGTCGGCCTGTGATTGGTTGGTGCAGAGGCCGCCCTCAGAGCGGACGTACACGTTAGCAGCAGTGGGCTTTCGGACATGCTGATTTATGTGGAGTGGGTCACCACAAATGTTTGTTGTACGCGTCCATTGCAGCACAACCAGTAGGAGAAAATTGGTTCAGGTAAATTTTGAACAGTGAGTAATCCAAAGAATATCCAACGAAATTCGAAAGTTTTTATAATCCATGACAACATACTAGCTCGAGAAATTAGGCTTAATTTTGTGGAGTGGCTGGGAGAAACTGAAGGCTGAGGCAATTTCGCATCCAGCTTTACACTTTTATTCCTCCAACCTTTTACTTCTAAAATCACTGCCATTAGTTTTTAATCAAAATCAGTTCTAGATCGATGAATGTGGTATTGGGAGCAACGAAAAGTGACGTTTACAGTAACAGGAAATAAAGGATGCCTCGTGACTAAAGTTCTTTTATCCCAAAATGTTCAGAGCTATCGCTGACAGATGGGCAGTCCCAGATGATAGACCAAATGTTTATTAACCAAAGTAGGCCTGGAATAGTCCAAGTAAACGCGGTGTCGGTTAACGCTCACCCGCGGTCCGTAGTTCTCCTGTTTTCACGTTATGGCCAAATTCGGCCTGGTATGTAGTTATGTGTTTATATATCCCGCCATCCATTCGGAATTTGCCTATATCAACGATCAACTAGATTGATGTGCACCAAGATGATGTGAACCTAGATTGTGTTTATATATATATATAGTGTTTATATATCCCGCCATCCATTCGGAATTTGCCTATACCAATGATCAACTAGATTGATGTGCAACTAGATTGATGTGCACCTATTATGGACCCATATGGACCTCATGCCGGGGCTGCTGCAACATAAGTTGACGTACCTTAATATCCAATTTAACTAACAGCGTGTTTCCGTATCAAGATTTTCCTATAATAACGTCATCTAACTATAGGTTCTTATAAGCCTTCTAAGTAACCCTACTCAGCTCGACTGCCAACCAGTATTTCCTGAGCTCAATGTCTGCAGCAAGAATAGTCCATACGAATGTTTTGCATACTAAATTATCCATTATGAGAAAAAGCAAAGTTGGTTCAATGCCGCCAGAACCCTCAGTTCTATTAGTGAAGGGAATTATTTGACGTGCAGACGCGTACATATCATTTGCTAAACTGGCCATTTGTAAAGAAAATTTGATGACCGTTTCGGTTCGGGTTCACTACGCTTTCTTCGAGTTACCACTTAATTATTAAATAGTAGTAGGCATGTTTGCCGATCACAAAGGTACGACACAGTTCATCCATTTTGCACTCTCCACAGGGCTTTCTTTAGCGTCCTGTGGTCACTTTTAGTTTTATTATTTCAATTTAGTTCACTTTTTAGTTTAGTTTGCTCAGTTTTAGTTTCTTACTAAGCTTTATTAGTTTAGATTCCGTTTTTAGTTACTTTATTTTATTGTTAAGTTTATTTTAGTTTTACTTTTTTGGCTTATCGCACAACAATATCGGTCCAAACGCATTATAAGCCATTGCGATTTTTCTATAACGAGGAAATAGCCTATCATTGAGGTTCTTACTTTAAATTCAGTATGGAGTCCATATACGATTGTATCCAAATCACGGGTGCTAATGGGCAGGCATTGTTTGCTGTGGGTTGTAGTTGTCTTTTTTTATGATTGTCGCGCGCCAAGCATTAGGTTATGTACATAATAATTCCTATTATGTTTTACTTTTCTACGCTCTATTACTATAATTATTGGTTATTTCTCCTGGTATGCACAACCTATTTAACTCCTACTACCAACGCTCCCGTAGTACATAATGGTGGGGTTTTCGCTATAGTGAGCCCTAAACACAACTGTTACCGGAAATTTAATTTAGTTCGGCATCTTCAGCTGTTGCTCAGTTTATTCTGATCCAACTAATAGGCAGAAGAAGGCAAGAGAGCGCTTCTGATAGGCAATGACTTTATTCAACCGTACACAAAGACTGTGGGACTTGCGGGACTGTCCGGTTCTGTGTGTTCTGCCGGCCCATCGGAATCCTTTAGCTCGTCCACTCTGGCAAATTCATACGGCTCCGGTCTTTCCAGAATATTCCTAGCATATGGCCTGCTCCCAGACATTCTGGAATAATCTTGACTACGCCCATTGCGCCTGCTATGTGGGTGGCCGTCTGGCTTTCTTGGCTCACGGAGTATGCGCAGGCGTGGGCGTCTGGCATGAGGGCGTGACGAACTCCGGGCGGCTCTTTTCGCCGATGCCATGAATGCACGGGGATCCCGCCTCCGTAACAAAAACAGTTGCATTCCTATCGACGCATGGCATGTCATAACAAGCAGAGAAATTTGACATACATCGATTTGCTTGTTGGAGTTTAACTTACCTTCTTTTTTTGTGAATTTTGTTTTTAGCTATCCATCTTCAATGAGGATGAACCTATGGTATACCTGGAAAGCCTGGACTGCAAAAATTATCGCAAACTCGCCTGGAGGCCGGATGATGATGAGGACGCTGAGGGTTCCCTAGACACTGACAGTGGCTTGGTCATGCATAAACCCCACGCCGAAACCAATACAAACATTCGCCTGAAGAATCTCAAAGACCTGGTGCCCGACGACCGGCAACTGGAGGACATACGCTCGGTCTCCGCTTGCCGGGTGAACATCAGCTCCCCGGTCATCATGCAGAGTGGAGCAGACGGCCATCGTCACGCAGAGAAGCTGCGTTGCCTTTTTGGTTCCACTTGCCTT